AATGCAATTAAACAGCATACTCAATAAACTTTGTAGAATTGATGTCTTTCAATTTCAATTATCCCTCAGGTGGAAGATGGCCCTACAGTAGCTTAGTGACCAAGATAAGAGGAACCGCAGCAGTCTTAGTCGCTGACATTGTTAGAGGATAGCAGTGGGTAGATATTTTCTGCTGGATACAGATACATGAGTCATGGTCATGCAATGAATATTTGGTGCTGTGCTCGTCTGCTGCTTTATCCTGAACATTTTTCCTGTTAGTGAAACCACAGCACCTGCCATACATGTTGACTGGTTTAAAGACTTCCCCCCCGCCCTTTAGTTTCTTGTAAAAGAGACTATACACCGAGGATGAAAACGAGAGTTTCCTGATGCTATTTGTTACTCACTATACATTGTTCCTTTAATCATGGTTTTATTACCATGATGATGATCTGGATGAGGGGATTGAGTGCACCCTCAGTAAGTTTGCAGATGACATCAAACTGGGTGGGAGTGTTGATCTGCTCGAGGGTAGGAAGGCCCTGCAGAGGGACCTGGACAGGCTGGACTGATGGGCCGAGGCCAACTGTATGAGGTTCCCAGGTCCTGCATTTGCGTCACATCAGCCCCATGCAACGTTACAGGCTTGGGGAAGAGTGGCTGGAAAGCTGCCTGGCCAAAAAGGACCTGGGGGTGTTGGTGGACAGCCAGCTGAACATGAGCCAGCAGTGTGCCCAGGTGGCCAAGAAGGCCAACAGCAAACTTGGCTTGTATCAGGAACAGTGTGGCCAGCAGGAGCAGGGAGGTGATTGTTCCCCTGTACTCGGCGCTGGTGAGGCCGCACCTGGAATACTGTGTCCAGTTTTGGGCCCCTCAGTACAAGAAGGACATTGAGGTGCTGGAATGTGTCCAGGGAAGGGCAACGAGGCTGGTAAAGGGTCTGGAGCACAGGTCTTATGAGGAGCGGCTGAGGGAACTGGTGTTGTTTAGCCTGGAGAAGAGGAGGCTGAGGGGAGACCTTATCGCTTTCTCCAACTACCTGAAAGGAGGGTGTAGTGAGGTGGGTGTTGGTCTCTTCTCCCAAGTAGTTAGCGATAGGACGAGAGGAAATGGGCTCAAGCTGCGCCAGGGGAAGTTTAGGTTGGAAATTAGGAAAAATTTCTTCATGGAAAGGGTGGTCAAGCATTGGAACAGGCTGCCCAGAGAGGGGGTGGAGTCACCATCCCTGGAAGCGTTCAAAAAACGGGTAGACGTGGCACTTTGGGACATGGTTTAGTCTAGTCTACCCTTGACTGGTTTAGAGTGGACTTGGTAGTGTAGGTTAATGGTTGGACTGGATGATCTGAAAGGTCTTTTCCAACCTAAACGATTCTATGATTCTGTGTTTCTATGACATTGACTTTGTCAAGTGGATGGAAGAAAGAACTGTAAAAATCGCTGCCCTTTCTTGCTGTGTAACTAAGTGGGTTATCTTGGTGCAGCACAATGACCAGAGCATACAGGTTGAATTTGAATTTAGTGTATGCACCTTCTTGTCTTTACAAAAGTTTTTCTTTCTGTTTATTGGTCGGAAAGAAAAGTAAAATCACATACCAAGTTCTGCCCAAATACATTGTGCTTAAGATTATTACTTTAATTCTTTAGTTAATGCTTTTTCATATGTAATTTTCTACTGAAGAACTATTTCATTTTTCAGATCACAGATGTATATCTAGATTATTATAGTTGTCACTAAACTGGAATAGATGCTGGTATTTTTTAATGTATTTATTTTTTTAAAAAATCCTGAATGTAAGGGTATTCATCCAAATTAATCCTTTGTGTTTTGAAGGGAAGCTATTGGGTTGACAATCACAGAGAAAATGTTCAAATCTTGGGTGTATACTGCTAGTCACTTTAATTCAAAGGTTCAATGATAAGGGTTATTAAAGAATTTATGATTTATCCTTTTCATTGTCTTTGCTCATTGCAGTTGCTTTCATTGCTGAAAATTTTAGAATATGGATTTTAGTGGCTAATGTATGTCTGTGGTCCATTTCTGTGAAATATTATGCCTACTGTTAACATTTTAAATTATTAAATGGTTCTTTGCATAGCCTATCATCCTTTCAGAGGACCAGTGTGTTTCTGACGGTTAGCTGATAATGAAAGGTAAACTGACTCAAGTTTTCCTGCTGTTACTGAGAGCTTGAGTTTCCATCGCAAATACTGCAGAGGAGTTTTTAAGCTGAAGTACTTTTTCGTTCACAGCAATACAACTGAGCTATTTAATGTTTCTGTTTCATCATATGTTTTGCAAAATGCTATTATTTCTTCTTAGAGTAGGGCTTGAAATTAGGTACTGAAGTCACCTATAAGAACTCTTAAAGAGATTGTACTGGCTAATGTTTCATAGCTGCAAGCCTTTAAAGATAATACAAACAACAAAGAGGGTATTCAGGATGACAGGAAGGGATGCTGCAAAATTGATTTTAAAAAGTTGCATAGGAAATCTTCTATCAAAACCTATTTTGTCTCTGCAGAACTTTGTTTCAACATTTTGTCAAGCCCCCTTGCCATTTCATATAGTTTTGCGTAGGCTGTAAAGTTTGTGTTGAAATCTGCATGAGATGTTCATTTCTGTAATAAGACCATTAGTAATGGTGATACTGTGATGAGGCAGACTTCCAGGCATACAAATAGGAAATTTTAATCCAAAACAAAATTGTGAAATGCATTTTTTTTGAGATAGAAGCATATTTACAAAGTTTCTCCATGAGTTAGTTATTTTTCTCTGTGGATGTGGTGTCTGTGTGAGTGTGGGATTTCTACAAAACCTCTGTTCCTTCCTTTGGTGTCACAGCAGCAGGATGTTGCAGCTACTGCATTAGTTTATAACGGCAGATATAAAAGATTTCTTGAAGTCTGCTCAGCAGTTTATCAAAGTTCACCAAAACATACTTGAATGTCAGTGATCTGTGGGACTTCACTGGGGGAGGGGAGCAAAGAGGAGGAATAGAAATTGCACTTGTTTTTCTTGTTGCAGGATCTAATTGTCTATATAGCTTAATTTTGCATTTTTCTAGTATTTTCCTGCAAGCTGGTGTTTCACAGTCCTAGAGTCAGTATAGCTCCAATTGACCTTGCTGAAGTGGTTTTTTAATTACTTGTGAAGTTAGTGTTTCCTTTATACTTTCCATGATGACATTTGCAGCTTGAGTTGCTTATAACCTAAGGGATACTTTATAGTAAGCATTTTGCAGAGATTTAGGTTAGTTACACTGGTACTAAAAGTGCCAGAACAAGGAGTCAAAGCAGAAAAACAAGAGGCAACTTAACATACTGCTCCTTTTTACACACCACAGGCAAGAAAAGTCTGTGAATTAAGATGTTCATGAAGTAAAGAGAAAAAAGAAGAGAGCCAAGAACAAGTCTGAGGATCTTAACAAAGACTGGAAGATGGCGGGGGGAAACGTATTCACTGAAGTGGTAGATAGTATTGACTTGAAAGGGTAATGAGCCAATATGTTCTGTTGTCCTGTTTACAGAAACAGAGGTTGTGGAGTCTTCATCCTTGGAGATATTGCAAGCTGCCTGGACATGGTCCTGGGTGACTGTCTCTGGGTGGCCCTGCTTGAGCAGCACGGTTGGACCAGATGACCTCCAGAGGTGTCTTCCAACCTCAGCCATTCTGGTATTCTCTTAATTGAGGAGTGGAGGGAGAGCTGTGCTTCACAGTTAACTCTGTTTAAATAATGCATCTAACAGTGGAACTTGTACCTGTTTGACTGTGACCCATCAAAACTTCTTAGGTCCCCCAGGTACTGTCCAAGCCACTATACCACCCTCTTTGGGACAACCTTAGTGCATGGGGGTTGATTTTTGGAAAGTGGGGAAATAAAAGGAGATTAAGGGATGCATGGAGCTCAAAACAGTATTGTCTCTTGAAACATGGTGTCTGTAAGTGGAGTCTTGGGGGCAGTTGGTGGTGGTTTGCAGGGAGTTCTTCCTTCAGTGGTGAAGGCCATGAAAGACAGATGGAAGTATTTTGGTGTTTTGTGAAAAAGCGTTCCTTATGCTTAGCCTGCTTCCATTTAGAGACTTTGTGTATTTTAAAAATCTTGACTATTTTTTCAGTACTACCTGGCTGGGTAAGTAATTCTTGTGGCAACCACCTCTTTATTGTGTGAACATGGACTCTGGAGCGGGAACAGGATGGAAGTAGGAGGAGACTGTAATCCTGTTGCCCTGTTTTTTCCCCTTTTGTACTCTGTCATACGTTGTTGTTAGTCCAGCATTGCATAAACATTATTTTTTTGGTATTTTGGGATTAGCTGCTTTCAAATACAAAATTATTTAATCACTGAATTGTGCTTCAGATCAAGAAAGCTGTATATAGTGTTGCTTTAGCCATTCAATAGCAACTTAGTAACAGTGGGGAGATTTTTGTTGGATGTTTTACAGAGTCATGTCAAGAACCCTCCTGTATCTGTAGCAGCACTGTGGACTTCTTAGTTGCGCCTGGGTATTATGGGGGTTATCACAAAAAAAATTAAGAAATCTATTGCCTGGGATTTCTGCAATAGCTTTGGTTCTTATATTTTTAGTTTGCTAGCGAGAGAGGGTGGAAG